GATTGAAAGCGTGAAGCACGAGCAGGTGATACGAGATCTCATTGTTGAGCTGAAACTGAGTTACCACGAGTTGGCGTATCTCCAACGGGCAGTCGAACTGACACGGCAAAATCACGAATTGATAGCCTCTATTCTCGCCATTGCGACCACACGTTATGCTGAAGGAAAAGTAACACTCAATGATGTGCTGAAGGCACAAAGTCAACTGGCACAGTTGGAATACGATCTTGTGCTGCTGGAGGAATTGCAGCGCGTTGAACATGCTAACATCAATGGAATCCTGTCTGTTCCTTCAACAACACCGCTTGGCGCAACGGCACCTGTTGCCTACGAGCCGCTTGATGTGACGTTAGCCGATGTCGAAAAACAGGCATTAGCCAAACGGCAGGAGTTGCGAATTGCTGAGTTAACTATCCAAAAAGCCACCGAGGGAATTGCCCTTGCCGAACTCCAAACCAAGCCTATGCTTAAGCTTGATTTGATGTCAATAGAAACAGGTGAGGCTTTGATGTTAGATGCACCGGGCAGTGGTAAAAATCCATTTAGCATCGGTATTGGTGTAACAATTCCGTGGTCAAGTCTGAAGAACAGCAGCAAAGTTCGCGAAGCTCAGCAAAACCGTGAGGTTGTCACGGCGAACAAGCACTCTCTGGAGGATAAAACGAAGGTTGCCCTCCGGAAAATTTATTTTCGCCTTGAAAACGCGCGGCGGCTCATCGAGCTCTATGAAACTACACTTATTCCGCAAGCTGCCGCTGCTATTGAAGTTGCTGAGACGTGGCATCAGGAAGGTCCCAAGAGCATTACGGGATTTCTTGAGACGCAGAGTGTTTGGTTGAATTTTAATCTTGCTCGACTGCGTGCGATTGCAGACTATCAACAAAATGTAGCTCGGTTGGAGCAGCTCGTTGGGGGAAAGATCGATGATTCACATACTGTGCAGTAAAGGTAAACTACGATATCTGTTTACTCGTGTGGCTCTGCTTTTCAAGTGCTTCCGGCGTAACTTCGCCTCAAACATACTATGTCGTCGCCTTTTCCGCTATTGGAAGCACCCTGCTACCTTATCCATGGGCTTCATAATGCTCACTGTTTTGGTTGGTGGGTGTGCGAGCCATCGACTGGAGACGTACCAAGAATTGCGTGGCACTGAGCTGCAACAGCCGGCGTATTACCATACAGAAATAGAAAAAAAGATTGCCAGTACTGAAAGCGAGCCCATCGTAGAATCCGACCCGTTTCTCAGCGAGATTGAAGCGAAGGTGTTGAAATACCAGAAACAGTGGCAAGCCCTATTAGAAAGTGAAACACCGATGCCAAATCTATTTTACGATTTTTCGACGGACTCCATGAAAGCCTATCGACAATTGGCAGCATCACCTGAAGCAGCGAGAGCCCAGCTTGCCCGACCTATTGCGTTAGAACTCCTTGTGGCACTCGGATACGAATGGAATCCGGGTTTGAGATCTGCCCATGAAAAAATTCGGGCGGTACTGGAGCAGTATCCGCAAGCTGTTTACTTAGAGAATGTGTTACGTCAGTATAACGCTTTCACAAAACAACTTGATACGAAAGTTGGACCGTTGAGCCATAAAGAGATGATGGCAATGAAATTTCCGTTCCCCGGGGCCTTAGCGTTGAAAGGGCAGGTTATCACTGAAGATGTGCTAATTGCCCAAAAAGAGTTTGAGATCGCACTACGAGATCTAGTGACTGAGATCAAGTTAACCTACTACGATTATCTTTTTGTCATTGAGGCAACCCGTATTAACGAAGAAAATCAAGAATTACTGAAGCAGATGATTGCTATTGCTCAGACGAAATTTCGTGTTGGGCAAGGCAAATATTCAAACATCATCATGGCACAGGTAGAGTTATCGAAATTGATAAATTCAATTATTACACTTGAGCAGCAACGAGAAACTACCATTGCGCGTCTCTAATACATTGTTGGATTTTTCAACGGATGTGCCATTCGGTGCTCCAATACCTATTGAGGATGTCTACGTAACCGCTACCCTGGCTGACCTGTATAAGTTGGCTGTTGAACACCGGCATGAAATCCAAAAGCAGAAGTTGGCTATCAGTAAGATGGGCTTGGCGGTGGAGATGGCGAAGCGGATGACCTATCCAGATCCAAGTCTTGGTACAAGTTACTTTGAAAATCGGAGCATGCCTGATATAAAAGGCACTCCAAAAATGTCGATGACGTTTGCTACAAAACGGACATTAAATCCAGCCAAGAGCGCGCAGTTTGGACACCAAAATGCCTATATTCATGAAGTAGATCTGAAAATTGAGGCGATGGAGAGCATGGTAGAGGAACTCGAAAACAGGACGCAATTTGCTGTCAAAAAGCATCATTTTGGTATGGAGACTGCAAATCGAAGCATAAACCTTTATCGTAATACGCTGCTCCCACAGGCTCAACAAGCCTTAGATGTCTCGAATACTGCTTATCAAGCCGCGCAAGTTGATTTTCTGAGTTTTCTTGATGCACAACGTACCTTATTAAAATTGCGAATTGAGGAACAGCAAGCGTTGCGCGATTATCGCCACCACCTCGCACAATTAGAACAGGTAGTCAGCGTGGTACTGTCCAAACAACCATTGACCGAAAAGTAGCGTTTTCTTGTATAGAATTTTGGGGTTTACCGATTCCGAATTCCTTCTGAAAGGCGCATTTAAGCTATAAAACTGCAACACGGACAATACAAGGAGTTTACAAAATGCTTAGAAATTTTTGCCTCGCAACCACACTGATAATCACTATACTTTTTACATTTGGCTGTGGTCAGCAAGAGAACGCTGAAATGAAGCACGATGTTAGCAAAAAACTTGACACAAAATCGGAGGAGGACACCACAGGTGTGGATGAACACGCTGGTCATGCGGAAATGGCGATGTCTGATGTGGAAATGGTGATGTCTGATGACGAGGAAGAAAAGATTCGTTTCTGGACGTGTGTTATGCACCCCACAGTCAAAATGCCAGAACCTGGCAGTTGTCCAGTTTGTAAGATGGATCTAATTCCTGTGTACGAGGGGTCAGGACTGGAACTAACTGAGCGACAGAAGGCACTGATTCCAGTGCGCACTGAGCCTGTCGCTTTTCGCAAAGTTGCGCGTGAAATCCGAACTGTCGGTGTTCTTGATTACAACGAAACCCGAGTGGCTTATGCGTCAACTCGTATCTCCGGATGGATTGAGAATTTGCACGTTGATTTCACCGGGATCAAGGTGCGCGAAGGCGATGAACTTTTATCTATCTATAGCCCAGAGTTAGTCGTCGCGCAAGAGGAATATCTAACAGCACTCAAAAGTGTGAAAGAACTCCAAAATACAGAATATGTGGATCTCCTCCGCTCGATTGAACTAAACCTCGCCGCTGCTGAATCCAAGCTGAAATTGTACGGATTAACCGGAAACCAAATAGAGGAATATCCGCAACCGCGGCGAAGTCAGCACCATTTTGCCGCTCTATGCACCTATCGCGGGTACGGTTGTTCACATGAACGTCATGCAGGGGCAACACCTCAGCAAAGGGACAAATCTTTATCGCATCGCAGACCTCAGCAGCTTGTGGATTATGGCGGACGTTTACGAGTATGAATTGCCGTGGATTTACATGGGGCAAGTTGTCGAAATTACGGCACAATCGATGCCAGGAAAAACGTTCTCCGGCAAAGTCACTTACATTTATCCGTTCTTTGACGCTAACACCCGCACCCAAAAAGTGCAGGTCGCTGTCGCGAATCCGAACGAGGAACTCCGTCCAGGAATGTATGTGACACTCCGCATGAAACCGACGCTCGCAGAAATCTATACCCGCGGAAGTATATCCGAGGCTCCTTATGCATGTCCAATGCATCCATGGATTATGTCCGAACACGCTACCGAATGTGATATATGTGGTATGGATCTAGAGCCAACACATTCCGATGTCATGGCATCCGAGCCGATGTCTGGAACAGAGGGAAAGTGGGCATGTCCGATGCATCCGGAAGTGCAATCTGATGAATTCGGCGAATGCTCTATCTGTGGTATGGATCTCGTCGAAAAACAGAGCACCAAAACAGGTTTAACACCTGACTCCCCCGAAGCAAAACCTGAATGGACATGTCCGATGCATCCGGAAGTGCAATCCGACGAATTTGGTGAATGCTCCATCTGCGGTATGGATCTCGTTGAAAAACAACCAGCAACAGTCAGTGGCGCGCAAGCGCATGCCTCTCATACACATACCGCGCCTGCCATCCAGCCGAATCTACCGGTTCTCGTTTTCAAATACGTGTGTCCTGATCATCCTGATGAATATGCGACCGTGCCAGGGCTATGTCCACGTGATGGAAAACCGCTCGCTATGACAGGAGAAGTTCTAACTATTCCGAAGAGTGCAGTCATTGACACCGGTTTACGGAAAGTCGTTTTCGTGGATCGCGGTGAATCGGGTATGAGCAGGTTGAAGTTGAAGTCGGGCCGGAAGCTTGGGGTACAGATGACAATTCAGAAATGAACCGCCGCTACTATCCGATCGTTAGCGGGATGACCCCGGGTGATATCGTTGTTACCCATGGCAACTTCTGATAGATTCGCAGACGCAATTAACAGGCTCCGCATCAGGTGCTTATGGAGGGGCACTCGGTGGTGAAGAATCAAAAGCCCCCTGTCCATCAGCATTAATCTGAGGATTTCTTTAGCCGGGATCTGAAATTGTGAGTGCAAACTACTCTTAGGGAAAGATTGTGCTAACAAAATACATCTACAAAAAGCGAGAAAGAACATGATTAACCGAATTATTGAAATCTGTATGAAGAACCGCCTGTTGGTGTTAGTTATCTTTATATTCGTCACAATGGCCGGGTTGGTGGGCATTGAACCGTACACCAATTGATGCGCTACCTGACATCGGCGAAAACCAGGTTATTGTCTTTCGCGGATTGGCCCGGACGAAGTCCTCGGGATATTGAAGATCAGGTTATCTATCCGTTGAGTATCACTATGCTTGGGATTCCCGATGTCAAAGATGTTCGTTCAACCGCAATGTTTAGCTTTGGTTATATTAACATTATCTTCAAAGATGATGTTGATTTCTATTGGGCCCGCACACGGGTACTGGAACGGATGAATCTTGCGCAAAAAGAGATGCCAGAGGGTGTTGTACCGATCCTCGGTCCCGATGCAACCGGTGTCGGGCAAGTATTCTGGTATACCGTTGAAAATGGGTACTATTGCCCTAACCATCCGACAGAACGCTATGCGGAGCCTGGTAAATGTCCGGAAGATGGAGAAACACTGATTGCCTCTAATTTAGAGCTTCATGAACTTCGGACGCTTCAAGACTGGACGGTTCGTTACTATCTTGCCTCTGCTGATGGTGTCTCCGAGGTTGCCTCAGTCGGTGGATATGTTAAACAGTATCAGATTGACATCGATCCGAATACTTTATTAGCCTATAATGTGCCATTGTCCGCTGTTTACAACGCTATCCGTGGGAGCAACCTTGATGTTGGGGCAAAGGTTATTGAGGAAGGCGGAATGGAATTCCTGATTCGGGGTTTAGGTTTTATCAAAAGCATTGAGGACATAGAAAACATCGTTGTCAAAGCACATAACGGGGTGCCTATCTACGTCAAAAATCTTGGAACAGTCAGCGAAGGTCCCTGACTTTCGGCGCGGTGCTTTAGACAAGGCTGGCATCCCCGCAACCGGTGGGGTCGTGCTAATGCGCTACGGTGATAATCCACTGCGCGTGATCGAGAACGTCAAGGCGAAAATAGCTAGAACTTACACCTGGACTCCCGCCGGGGGTCCGAATTGTCTCGTTCTATGACCGAAGCCATCTCATTCACCGCGCAACGGATACACTGAAGGAAACACTAACGGCGGAAATCATCGTCGCGGCGGTTGTATCCTGCTTTTCTTAGGACAAGTTTCAAGTAGTCTGATAATAGCACTTGTCTTACCGATGGGGGTTCTGCTTTCATTTGTAGGGATGCGGATTATTGGTTTACCATCGAACATCATGTCAATGGGAGGCATTGCTATCGCGATTGGCGTTATGGTGGACGCAGGTATTGTGATGACAGAAAATATCACGCGCCATTTACAGGAACCACACGCAGGTGAAAGTAAACTTCAAGTCGTAACCCGTGCCGCCAAAGAGGTAGGCCCACCTATCTTCTTTGCAATGCTTATTGTTATCGTTGCCTTCATACCTGTCTTTTCGCTTACCGGCCAAGCAGGTAAACTCTTCAAACCGCTTGCCTATACAAAAACTTTTGCTATGCTTGGTGCAGCCCTCATAGCGATTAGTCTGGTGCCAGTTTTAGCATCATTTCTACTCACGGACCCAACCCGTACACGGACAGGTGTAGTTTCCAAGCGAGTGGCACAGTTCTTTGCTCTACTAAGTTGGCCCTTGAGAAAGTTAGCGGATGGGATTACGTGGATACTCAGAACTGTCTATCGTCCGATTATTCAGTTGGCTGTAAAGAATATTTGGACTAAACTCACCGTTGTTGCTCTGGCGGTGCTAGCTTTTGCTGTAAGTATCCCGTTGACCCCTTTCTATAAAAATATTGGGCAGGAATTCATGCCTCCACTTAACGAAGGGACGTTGCTATTTATGCCGGTGCTGCTTCCGGGTGCTTCAATTACGCAAGCAAAAGATATAATGGCAAAGCAGGACTTGATTATGAATCAATTCCCAGAGGTTTCGCTTGTAGTAGGGAAACTCGGGACGGGCGACAACAGCGACCGACCCCGCTCCAATTGGCATGTTTGAAACCATTGTTAATATAGTTGACCCGACGGAGTGGCCCCAACGGGCTATTAAACGAGACTCAACAACGGAACTTGTGCAACATCTTGTCCAACGCTTAAGACGCGAGGAACTTATAAGCGCGGCACATGCGAACCATATTAACACCGATTTGTTGGATGACATTGTTACAGCGACCGTAGAGCGGTTTGATACTTTAGCGATAACATATCACAATTCTTATTTATCAGTTGACGAGCGCGAGAAACTCTATCGCATCTGGTTATTACGAATCCTTTTTGAAGAACTTTTAGGTGAAAAGCGGGCTGACGGAATGGGATTGGAACAAGTCAAAATTGGTGAATCTGAAACTGAGACGAAACTTCATCGAATCGCCGAGGAAATTGAACCTACCCTCAAGCATAAGACTTACTTCCGGACCAAGAACCGCAACGAACTCATCGCCGAACTGACGGAGGCTACCCGAATGCCGGGGGTTTCACCCATTATGACGCAGCCCATACGCAATCGCGTTGATATGCTTGCAACAGGCATACAAACGCCAATCGGAATTAAAGTGTTTGGTAAAGACCTCGCGAAGATTGAAGAGATTGCGGTACGGATTGAGCAGGAACTCCTTAAACTTGAAGGGGCACAGGGGCCTTATGCCGAGCGCATTGGAAATAAGCCGTACCTCGAATTTCATATTGACCGAGAGGAAGCCGCGCGCTATGGCATCCAAATCCAAACGGTACAACAAATCATCATGACGGCAATCGGTGGCATGAATTTGACCTATACCGTTGAAGGGCGGGAGCGATTTCCGATTCGTATCCGTTACATGAGAGAGTTGCGGGATAATATTGAAGCACTCAAGCGAGTCCTCGTTCCAACACCAAAAGGACTACATATTCCGCTTGAACAACTCGTGAAAATCGAAAGGCGACCTGGTCCCGCGAAAATCGCGAGCGAAAATACACTCCTCTTTTCCCGCGTCTTTTGTGATGTAGATGTTGACATTATTGGATTGGTTGACTTCGTCACATTAGCCCAAAAAACTCTTGATGAAAAGATTAAGCCAACTTTACCTCAAGGCTATTTCTACGCTTTTAGTGGTCAGTACGAAGCTGAACTGGAAGCTCGCGATCGATTAACCATTGTAGTACCCGTGTGTATTGTTGTCATTTTCATATTGCTATACCTTCAGTTCAAGTCGCCTTCTGCGATGTTTTCTATCTTCCTGGCAATTCCCTTTGCATTCATCGGAGGCATGTGGATGCAGTGGTTAATGCAATACATACCGGAGACACTCGGCGGCGGTTACGCCATTAAATACAGTACAGCAGTGTGGGTCGGGTATATAGCCTTATTCGGCATAGCCGTTGAAGATGGAATCGTTTTAATTGAATATCTACTGGAACGTGTCCGCGGCGGTGAACCTATTGACGAGGCGGTAGTCAATGCTGGTTTATTGCGCGTTCGACCTATCATCATGACCACGGCAACGACAGTGCTGGCATTATTGCCAATTATGTTAGCGGAAATCAGTACTACCACCGGCGCGGAATTGATGAAGCCCATCGCTGTACCTACCTTCGGTGGCATGGTCACGGCAACAGTGGCTAACCTGATCTTGGCACCTGTGTTATTCTCTCTCTTCTATCCGGTTGAACGTTGGATTCACCAGCGGTAGAAGGATTTGTGAGGGTTACTTTCTTTCATGGAGTATTGGAGGAATTATGAAACGTCTGACTACATTCAGTATCTGTATATTTGTCGGTCTTATGGGGTTACCAACTGTTGGTACTGCATTTGAACTTGAAAAGTACTTGCATGTCGCAAAAGGCGGTGTAGTAAGCACTGGTCGCGGATTAGCGGTCACCAACAACGAACTGGAAACCGCACTCACCGAAGAGTTCTCTATCGGGTTTCAATTGACACCTGCACTTCGGTTCTCAGTTCCGTTCGGTAGTTACGTTGTGGATACTCGCGGAGGTAATACAGATATCCTGCCCTTCGGGATGTTGGGTGTTGAGACTGTTGGCACGATGTTGACACTGAGTGGACGTGGGAAATGGGCACCCTTTATTGGATTCGGAGCCAATTTCTATTCTTTTACTGAGCAATTCGCTGCACCAGCGAATATGCAGAATACTTTTGGTGCGGAAGCGTCTACTGGACTCAGTATAAGACTTATCGATAGCATCTTTGAGGTGGCTCAGTTGAATGGATCATTTGGCTATCAGTTCAGTTTTTTGAGACCGAAGGTGAGCGTACCTGCCAGACCGGACGTTGAAGTGTTGTCATTAAACCGCCATAGCATTACCTTCCGGTTGGAGATTTTGGGGTTGTAAAAGTCCTTGCAAAAATAAGGATTTCTGGTAAACTTATAGGGATGCCCAAAAAACGGATAAGGAGATTGTAAATGTTTTTCCGAATCTATTGCTGTCGGCGAATAAGTGTTCTATTAACACTCGTGTTTTTAATGGTAAGTGCACCATTGTTCAGTGGTGCTCAAGATGCAGAATTTCCGGCGCAGAGACTGGCGGCTATTTTCCCGAAAGCGAATAAATTTGTTCAAAAGAGTGCCGTGCTTACACCGGATAAAATTGCGTCAATTGAAAAGGGCATCGCGGTTAAACTCCGAACGGCGGACCTAAAACCAATTTTTTACATCCCGATCAATGACGCGAATAAGCCGATAGGGCTGATCCTGTTCGTTGACGTAGAGGGTCCGAGCGGTGTTATTGATGGTGCTGTTGGACTGAACATGAGGGGGAAAGTCGTGAAAGTTGCGGTCTATGAGCACAAAGAATCAGACGCGATTGCAAGCGAAAAATTTCTCAAACAGTTCGTCGGTATGGGTATAGACGACGCTTTCAAGGTTGGGGAGGATGTTGAAGCTGCTGGAGGACATGAAGATGCTTCAAACGCAGTCGCCCTACTTCCAAAAAAGACGTTGGTGATGAGTTATGCCCTCTTCTTAAAGCAGGAATTGAAACCTACGCCGGAGGAAACACCAGAGTCTGATACACCAGAGGAAGAGATGCCTGAGGTCGAAGACTTGAAATCCCTCATGGCGTTGATGATAGATGACTATTTCGTGGTCGTTGACTACTTTGATGACAAAGAGAGTAAAACGAAAGCCGTTGAAGCGGCGAAACGACTTGCCAGATATGCAAAAGGCATCTCAAGTTTTGAACCGCCGAAGAACGCGGATCAGACAGAGGAGTATGTCTATTTGCAAGACAAATTTGGCGAAACGCTCCTTAAATTTGCTGAGGCACTTGAGAAGGAAGGCGTTTCTGAAGAGATGCGCAAGCAGTGGGACGCTATTGTTGAATTAGTCAATCAGGCACACCTCCGGTTTAGCGAAGAAGAGATTGATTTGGATACATATTAGTTGCAAACACTTCGTGGGAGCGGTCTCTGCCGCCCTATACCGTTAAAAAGTATCTATCGTGAGCAAAATTTACTAACGTTGAGAAGCCGACACGAAGTGCGACGATCGTCCCGCAGCTTTTGGTTGGATTTTGAATGGAGGAACATGACTTTTGTTAAGCAAGTTTTGGTTTGCAAGCTGCACCAAAAGGGCTGGATATGCTGCTTGTGTGCAATATGCGTATTAGTAGGCACACTGCAAGTAGCAGCACAGGTCCGTCCGCCTCGGCGCAAACATAGAATATTGGTAGATCCGAGTGTGAAGAAGAAAGATACCCTCAAGGCGGATATAGGGGCGAGCCTCAAAGACATTGCGAAACGCGCAACGCAACACTCCCAGCTGCCGAAGGTGGATGTCGTGTTTGTCGTTGACGGTAGCAAACGGATGTCAGGAGTGCTCACAGACCTTGAAAAGAGACTCGTCGACATGCTTACTGTTATAGAGGCGAAAACCATGGACTATAGGTTCGCCCTCATAAACTTTCAATCGGTGCAGGGGGAACCGCGCCACACAATTCATCAATGGACCTTTGACTACATCGGTATTGAAAACGCTTTCCGGGATATAAGGGTCCAGTCTGACAATAGCACTGGATCTGGATATGGACTTGATGCAGTCGTGAAAGGTTTGAATACGTTAGATTTCCGCGAAGGCGTTACAACACAATTTGTTGTGATTACCAACTCACGAATGCGCACTGAATGGACAGAGGCGGATGCTAAGAACAGAATTAGTGAACAGATCGTCAACCTATGCCGACAAAACAACGTGCAGCTCAACTTTATCGGTACAAGCGAGAAGGTCCAGGCGGAACTTACTGACCAAACGGGTGGCAAATGGTATCCGATTGATTCATATCAGCGGCAGATGGACGGACAACGCATTCAGAGTGGCGAGACAGTCGCTGATAAAGCACTGCTTCGGGTGGAGGGGTTATTTAAGCGCATTGCTGAGCACTTGGCTGAGAGTAGACCGGACAAAGTAGATGTTGTGTTCGTCTTCGATTACAGTCTGAGTATGCAAACCAAAACGGACGCTGCCTGTGACGGCTTGGATCTCATGGTCTCTGTGTTTAAATCGGCGGGGTTAGATTATCGGTTTGGGATTATCCGATTTTGGGCAGCAGTAGGTGGCGGCGAAAGTACTATCGTCGTAACCAAGCCTCCGTTGGAGTCCGAACAGGTGAAGGCGATGTTTCGCCTCCCAAAATCCGGTGATGAGCACCTGCTGGATGCCGTCATTGAAGGTGTGCCGAAACTGCGGACAGCACCGGAGCGCGACCTTGTGCTGATCATTGTCACGGACGAACCAACGAGCAAACGCACCGAAAAAGAATATACCGTAGGGCAAGCGATTTCAGTGTGTCGGGGTGTGCATGCGAAGGTGTATGTTATCGGCGGTGTCGCCTCTATGCGAAGCAGCTCCATGACGGATAATTTCCAGCGTCAGGTCGCTCAGGTAACCAAAGGTGAACACTATGTTATGCCGGGTGCCCTGATATGGCGAGGCACCGGTGCTGACGAGCGGCGGTAATTGTGTTGTGTAGTCTTTTCGGTGCTTGCCTATCACTCTACAGCGAGTTCATCTACTGTTTTGGCGTGGATAGCGATAAGGACGAAACAGGTGGACTGCAAATTCGCAGTCGGTTCCGTCAGTTCGATCGGTGTATTGCTGACGAAGCTGCCGTCTTCTTGCCGTGTATCTGTCAAATAGTTAATTGCAACACGGCGGGTATTGAATGGATCGTTTCCAGCCGCAAGTGCCATAATCGCAATCGCGGTGATTTCCGGGTCGCTTGGACTATTTTTATATCGTCCGAACCCGCCATCACTACTGTTCTGTAGCTGCTTTAACCATGCGATTTGTGCATCAATGTCGTAAACAGGTTCTAAACCTTGTATCACCCAAGATGTCAAGAAAACATCGGATTGCATGCCGCGTTGCAATGCCCAACCGCCATCAATTTTGATGGCTCCCGCCAACCAATCTGCGCCTTTAGAGACGGGGTCAAAATTCTGTTTGAAACCGAGTCTCCTGAATCCTGCTAAAACAGCGGCAGTATACAGAACGTTGTCAGGGTTTCGTTCCTTTTTACCCCAACCACCGCTCCGATTCTGTACTTTTTTCAGCCAACGCAGTCCTTTGAAACGTACTTCCGGATCCGTCTCTGCCGTCGTTAAAGCGATAAGTGCAAAAACAGTGTGTGCGGTGTTATTGTTCCAACTCCCGTTATCCATTTGCGTATTTCGCAGATACGCGACCCCTGTTCGGGTTACCTGTGAACCGGTACCCCATCCTGCGTCAATCAATGCCCAAATAGCAAACGCAGTACTTTCTACATTGCTGTCTCCACCGGGGACCAGGGGCCATCCACCATCTCGGTTTTGGTGCTGCACAATATAGGTTTTCGCACCCTCTATGGTTTTGAAGAGCGGAGGTCCCTCTGGCACTTTATTAGAAGCAGTGCCTGCTCCAGCATCGTCTTGCGCGAAAACGAGGCCAGCAGACATACCGACACAAGCGACTAACATTAAAACAAAACTAAAACGAATCATTCGTTTTGGTCCTCCTTAGGGAACTTGCCGATTACGTTGTGGCAAGTCTCTACAAGTTATCTCATAAAGTGCTGTATGGGTAAAAGGCACGGGAACCGTACCTTAACAACTCAGTTTTATTTTTTAACGCGTGAGCGTTCCATCTACACAAATCTTCAGGTTAGGAATCAATATCTATATCCGTAGATCTTCTCTACTGTTTACAACGCCGTTTTCATTAAGAACACCTGAGTGCTTAAAAAGTTACGTGCTTTATTTGCGTGTTGCTGAAAACGGCATCGCAGGTGATATTGCTAAACGCGGTATCACTAGGAACTTTGGTATCCGCAACAGCACTTCCGTTAATCCCGATTAGGCAATTCAACAGTATGTAGCAACAGGCCAGCATGAAAACAGTTTTGTGGTTTCTCATTTTTCCACCCCGCTGATAACTTTAGTACACTACGACTGTGGCTCAATCACAACCTTGTAAACACCTTCTTGCCCAAGCATATCGATGCCCTTTTCCAATTGGTGCAACGGCAGATGATGCGTGATCAATTCCTGTAACGGCGCGCGTGTTATCTGGAGATAATCCAATGCTGTCTGAAACTGGATTTGTGGGTATGCCCATACACCACAGACATCGAGATCCTTGTTGCAAATTTGGTGTGGTCGCACACGAGTATCCCCGGAGTCTGTGTAGTGTCCGACTTC